CACCACCACCACCACCACCATCATGCACCATCATCACCATCATCATCATCGTCGTCGTCATAGTCATACTCACAATGATGAGACGTCACCCTGTGCTTAATCATCATCAAGCTCAGCCGGATTCTCATCACCCTTTTCGTCGATGTCGTGAGACTCTAGTGGTTTCGTTCTTTCCTCCACGGCTCGGCGTCATCGTCCTCGCTGTGGCTGTTGCCGTGGCCGTCGCCTAGTCGTCACTATTGTCGTCGACTAGTAATCGTTGTTGTCGCAAGAACACTGCTACTGACAAGGATTCACAGGAGTGCTAAGCGCAGTTGCAACGACGCCTGTGTATAGGCCAAGCAGCGATTCAAAGGACGCGCCAGAGGCACGGTGTTCTTGCTGGACCGTCTGTTTTTCAGCCTGGCTTTTTTGCAGAAGAATCAGAACACTACCCGCAACATTAGCAGCGAGAAACATCGCAAAAGCAGTACTTGTAACAACAGCGAGAATCGTTGACTCAGCCCCGGTTCTGAGAGTCGTCATGCACACCCTAACATGACAGGCCGGCAAAGCCAAGCCTCCGGTGCTGAGCTACCTGAGGCGTGACTGTGCTGTCGTCGTTGTTGTTATTTCAGCTGCTGTTGCTGCGCTGCTGCAGCTGCTGCTTTTCTTTTGCTTTATTCCTTGATTTTTTTCTATCATGTGCCGTTTGGCAGCCGCATCCGGAAGAGGTGACGGGCCGGAGAGGGGAGGGTCTGGGTGTGTAAAGTGTTGAGTTTTGCGCAGAGTCCCAATTTCCTCGAAAGAGGAGCAGGGACGATTCTACGTCGTTGGCCTCTGTCAGGGACAGCTCTGGGAGAGTCGAAGAGTTCTCCAGCTGCACTCTCGTGACGCCCTGAGCTCTTCCAGCGCTTTGGGGGCAAGTTCGATGAGCTTGGGCTTTGCTGGGGGTGGTAGCAAGGCGTCCTCAGCAGAATGGGCTCTCAAGTTGCATGGATCTGGATGCCTAGAGTGGCTGTTGCGTGTGATTGAAGGGCTGCATGGGCCGGGCTCTGGTCACACATCTCCACAACAGGCTATTGAGAACGGTAGTTTTTTTGAACACGTAGTCAGAGCATTCTTGAGGCCCACAGCAGCAATTTACAGCAAAGGTATCAAAAGGGGCTCCTAACCCTGTCCAAAGCCTCCCTCATGCGTTGTGAGGCCTGCCAGCAGTGCTATCAAGACCACTTTCAAGCTTGCCTGGCCTACTGCAAGCACGGCTGTCAGGACACGGCTGCCTTGTGATCAAATCTGCCTCTACTTCGCTGATCAAAAAAGGTCAGATTCCAGAGTGTGCTAAAGCCTGTCATTTGTGCTGGGGGTCGGGACTGGGAAGCAGGGCAAGGAAATACAAGGAAAGATAGGGACGATGTGACCCCATCTTCAAAATCCTCCACTTCCTGTCATGGGCCATGGGCGCCATTTCACATTGCCCTCGGCAGCTGAATGTTAGCTGGCATGGGGGCTGATGCTCCTGCGCAAAGTCTCTGCTTGGGATTCCCTTCTCAAGCAGAGCTTTGGCAAGAAGAGCGGCATTCGAGGCCACTTCAAAAGAGCATCGCACTCGAGAGTCCGAATAGTGGTGCTGAGGTTGGCCAGCAGGGCATACAGCAACTCGCGGGGTCGTGCGGAGGGTCGGGGAACAGATGTGCATGGCAGATGTGGAGGTTCTCCGACGGTTGCATGTTAAACCCAGCCGAAGACTAAACAAGCGGAAAGCGCCGAAATGTTTCAGCCAATGTGAAACCTTGACCCACGGCTGAGGGTTATTTCCACTATGCAGAGAAGTAGACAGCCTCACGAGGACTACTGCGAGGAGAAGATGTCGGATGAGGAGTGCAAGGCCTTCACACGAGCTTTTGAATTTGTGGTCAGTAACGGGATATTGCCTAGGGAGATGAGAACTCTTGGTTCGCTTTAGTATTCGCCAGTTGAGAGGCTGAGGACCCCGGTGAGGTTTGGGCCGTGCACTCAGTCGCTACTCACTGGGGGCTCGCAAAGCCGCGTTGAGCGTTTCGCAGACAAGGTCGCCAAGATTGGAAGCCTCTTCGACTTGATGCAGAACTCTGGGCAACTCTGCCAGGCCTGCTATCTTACTCGGCCTAGTTGCGAGCTGTCGCGACTGGCATTTGTCATGACATGTCGCATCTTCGCCTGCAAGATGAAGTCGCCCGACGGGTGTCCCAGCAGCTGTCGCCCCAGCCATGGCGAGAGGTTCTAATCACCTGCGCCCTTGTTGGACATGAGCCACCCGAGAGTCTTGAGGCGGTCGAGTACCAAGCTCGCTGCCTCCTAACACGCCTTACTAGGCAGGGTCTCCTGCATCATGGCATGTCTCCAAATTATCGAACATGTGGACACAGCCGCACTTTCTCCCGCCTTCCCTTGCAGCGGATTGATTTATGAAAGCAAAAGGTCGCTGCAAGATTGCATTTGTGCGACAAATCGTTTCTGCGGTGCACGTCAGGAGCAGCTTTCTGAGGCTTGGGCCAGCTGTCTTGCGTCGGGGAGTCAGGCGGAGTCCATGGTTCGAGGTCGAACGGCCTGGATGCTTTCGCCACTTTCATAGTTACAAAGCTACATTGATCGGCTAGCTCAGTACTGTCGGCTCCGGCGATCTATCCAGCGCCCTTGTGATGCAAAGTGTTTCACCGAACACAGCAGCGTGCGTGTGACTTGAGCCTGCGAGCCAAGTTGAAAAGTCTGCTTACTGCCGCATACTGCCGCCATCATGAAGTTAGTTCTTCTGCTGTTCATGATGGTCAACAGTGAGTGCACGGATGCTTGCTAACAGTCTGCACACTGAGTCCTTTAAGACGTGATGCAGACTGGCAAAACTTGCCCTTGGCAGCTCATCGTTCCCGTGGGCTTGCCTGGAACTGGCCTCCACGACTACTCGCGGCGCCTACGCGAGGACGGCCGTAATTGCCAGTATTATTCCGGCCACCGTGGAAGTAACAGCAGCTCAAGGTAGCTCAAGCAACTTGCTCTCACCGTGCGCAGCTGACTTGTTCATCTGCATATACTATGTCGTTCAAGCAGCGACTTGTTGGCTCACTTGCTGACAAGGCAAGCGGTATGTACGGTATGGACAAGTGCAAACTATGTGTTCGGATAGTTTGTGGCCAGACATGCGAGTACATCGAACAAGTACCATCGGCATTGTAGTGCAGCTCCATAGATACATGCCTGACATGTGCACTTCCTACCATTTCCTACCAAGAGGAGGGAGATGATCCAAACAGACACTGGGCGCTCGAAGCTTAGAAGCCCTGGGCCATCCTGGGCCTGGCTTATCCTTAGCCCAGCCAAGCCCTACGGTCGCAAGGACGAGATCCCATGCTCCCGTTACAGCGCCATGGCTTCGTGCTTCGTCGTCTTTCTGCTGGCCTTACTTTGCCGCGGGGCATCCCTGCGGCAGGGCTTTACCGACTGCACTGGGGAGGACACGGTTGCGGAGGAGCATTCTGCTTGATTTGTCTTGCACGCGCAGAGTGGATGAGGACACCTCAGATCACGGCTTGCGCCGAGCATACAGGCGCTTGGCGCTGGAGAACCATCCAGACAAGGGTGGAAGCCGCTGGGATGCAGCGGATATCTTCAACCGATGAAGTTGAGAGGGTTCACGGGTACACCTCATCAAACAACTCTTTCGTGACCACAAACCGAATCGATTTGATTATGATATCGCCTTTCCAAGTCTCTAAGTTGTGAGCTGTTCCGAGGTAACGAGCTTACGTCGGACCTCACGGCTTTACGTGACAACTTCCTGCGCGACCCTTTGCACTTCCAGGTCTTCAGCGCTCGGGCTGCATGCCATCCGGAACTCGGGTTCTTGAGCGTAGCAGTGCTGGGCTCACGGCTGCTCAGATTGCAAGATGGGGTCTTCCCGGCTGCACAGGGAAGTCTGGGGCTCTACATTCTACATGGGGCAGGAGCACCATTGGCCCATTGATCGTCCCAGGAGCCACCTTTGCGGCAGAGCTCCTGGCCTTCGGCAACGGGCCTCGTGGTAGGCTGCGGCGCGCGAATGCAAGTGCACTTGGGCCTTGCTTGGGAGATCACCTCGTGGTAGGCTGCGCCGCGCGAATGCAAGTGCACTTGGGCCTTGCTTGGGAGATCATTGCTGTCGGTAGAAGCTAGACCTAGCTAGGGGAGCATCTGGAAAGCCGCCTTTAGGTACAGCTGCATGACGGCTGGCCGTACATCCAGGACAGGCCACGGTTCTCGGAAGTAAGGAGTTTGCACAGCAACAGCGAAGCAGCGAAGCTGACAGCTTGTCTTGGATTTGGACTCTCACGAGCGGATCGTGCGCGCAAGCATCCCTGCGCACGCCTGGAAGATCCGAGCATCCAGAATCAAGACGACCGGACTGACCGGACTCGCCCCACCCATTCTGAAATGCTGTCCGCGATAAGCCGTCGTGCGAGTCCATTCTTGTCTTGCGACACAGCAGTCAATGTCCTTTGAGCCTGGATTCCGACTGATTCCGACATTTGGACAGCACTTCTCATGCTTGGCCGGCGAGAGCCATTGAGTGCAATCTTGCAGTCATCATCATTGCAGGTTGAACTCGACTTGGATCATGGCGGGCTGCTGCTCGATGGGGGCAGCTGGACGTTCGCCTTTGGCTTGAAAAATGCCAGCACCGTCCACTACCGTGGGGATGAAGCTCAGCTGCTCTAGCAAAGTGCTGACTGAGCACAGAAATCGTGCTGTGTAGGCCCAGCTGAGAATCCTGCAGTGGCATGCAGCCACTCGTTCAGCAAAGGAGCGGGCTCGTGGCTACGATGTTTGCTGTGACTTTGTTCAAGATTCGCGGTGCCAGCGTCGGCCAGCGTCGATTTCTCAGAATCTGTCAATTGCACAGCTGCATCGTCCGCTGCATGGGCGTTGCCGGATACGTGGCCCTCGAAAATAGTCATGATGCCGGGAGTCATGGCATGGCCCTCGAGCCTAAACCGTCATCCAAACGCTAAGAACAAATATGTGATTTGGGCTCAAGCATCAGAAGATTGTTCCGATGCTCTGAAAATCTCTGAAATCAAGAGCTCTTTGTGCGCCGGTACCACATCCGCAGAGTTGCTACGAGAGTACCAACCAGTAGCCTAGCAGGATGAGGTCGGCATGCGGGGACAACGGGAAAGGCGGCAAGACCTGGAAGGTCCGGGATACGGCGTCCAATGCGGCAGAAGGTGGGGAAACAACCGCCATCAACCGCCGTTTTGACACTTCCGAAGACTCCGAATGCAGAGATTCCACTGGCTTTGCTGGATGAGCACCTAACTGCTAAATACTGCTAATATATGACTACTTCCAGTTGCCCATGGACATGGACAAATTCGGGAACCGCGGCGTAGCTTACTTCAATTCTCGATACCATGAAATAGCTGTGCAATGATGGCACCGACGAATGGGAAGGACACGCCAGCGAGCGTCCTTGCAAATCAGAGTGGTCCTCCATCCAGGGCTATGCTGGAAACATTGAAAGCGCCACAGAGATCAGCTTGGCTCACCGGTACCATCCCGAGAACTCAAGCGGATGGCTTTTGATGAAGATTGGCGGGCTGTGGGCTTCAACTACACAGCCGAGGGCAGCAAGTGTCCACGCTCTTATGAACCCGACTCTACCGCCTTGCCCCACTCAACGTCCTAGCACGTCCGCACATCTCACACGAGACAGGGTGGTGTGAACCGAGGTCCAACATCAGCGTGCCAGAGCCCAAATGCCAAAAGGACTCTGCCACGAAGTGCCTGGAGCTCAGGCGTTCAGCTGCCCTCCAGTCCGGCACACTTGGGGCTTTCTCATCGCGTTTCTCTCGAAAGATACCCAGGTCATGAAGGCACCAGCAACCTCAGCAGCTTGTACTCTACTTCCGACTGTCCTTTGCCGCCCTTGGTTACAGCCTCTGTCAGGAGGCACGGCATGTCAAGACTGCTGTGGTGATTGCCCTACAGTCGTCTCAACTTGTGGAGGCCACTCCATCTGAACATGACCGGCCAATGGGGAGCAGCGCTTCAGGTCAAAGATGCTTCCGGCGAGGAGGCTTCAGCTTGCTTGGCTTGCCTTCAGCGGCTCTTGGACGTGTCAGCGCCAGGTTGCCTGCGTTGCGTTTGCCCTTGTGCACGAGTCGATGCAGCAGATAGAGCCGGAGACGGGGGAGACGGAGTCCACGCTGGCAGGTAAGGTACTCTTCACAGCTTCGAAGCTGCTGCTTCCCCCTCCAAAGGAAGTCGCTGAAGCACCGCCAGGCAGCCCAGGCGGTGCTAGTGGGCTCGGACTCGATGGGATCGGCACTGACAATGCCACGCACCAGCGAGGTGCATCGGTCTCTTGGCAAGCAAATTCTTTTGCAGCATCGTTACAGATTCGATCGATGCCCGTGTTTTCAGAACGTCATGATCTTCCTCAAACATAAATACTGGCACCCGTGCTATGCTGTGCTCAGGAAGGACCTCCAGAGGTGTCTTTCCAACACATCGGCAGCGGCCAGTTCTGTGAAGACGGTGGGGACCTGCTCGAAGGAGCCTTGGGCTTGAAATGAAGCACGATGAGTTTTGTTGACTTGGGATGATCCCACAGTCGCTGCAGGTGCCCTGGACGACTACGGTGGTCTGTCTCCGTTTGGAGGCGCGGCCGGGGGAGTTCTTTCGATCTCGTGATTCCATCCGATCCTTTCTGCAGGTGCTCGAAGAGCGAGTGCGGAAAGCTCCATGTTCTACGGCTCCAAGTGCCGCGAGCGCTGCCGGCGGAAAATGAATTGTCGAAGCTGAGCAGGATAAGGTTTACAGGAGAACCTCAGGGCCCACTCGAGGCTCAAGGCCCTTGGCGCGGTTTCAAACCGAGGATTCTACACTGCCTATAGCAGTGGATGGTGCCAGCTCTCCAGCCGCTGTGCATTGGCCTCCCGGTGCAATCCTGGACCTTTGGGGTTCCACGGCACAGGGCAATGCAGCGGAGGGACAGTGCAAAATACAATGAGCGTAACTCACTGAGGGGCTGCAGAGATTCGAGTTCTCTGCAAGCACAATACTAACAGCTTCAACGTACAAGATGCCGACCGTCATGTTACCTGTAATGATCGAGAGACAGATTCAGGTGTCTAAATTCGACATTTGCCGCAGTGCCACTGCAAAATGTCGGAGATAGAGAACTGTGATGTCGCCGACCCTCTTGGAGTGACTTCACCTTCTCTGTTGCTGCGTAGCCTTCCTGTGGTCGAATTGTCAATTGTGGCAACCTCGTGGAGCTTCACTTCCCGCTGCCAACATCACAATCTAGTCCATTCTAGTCCGCAAAGATCTGTCCTAAACATTGCACTTGCGCATACTGCGAACATGAGCACAGCATGTCGCTCGGCCCTGTTGGTACGATTCGAACTGCGTGGCTCAATTCGAATTCGTGGGTATCTGCCCTACCTTTTCCATCCGAGCCTGAACGGTAAGACATCGAAAAGCTTCCAACAGAAGAAGGCAAGATGAACATTTCTGCCTCGCCCAGGCTCGTGCTGGCGATCCCTTGGCGGTGACTTTTGCGAAGACCCCTCGCGCTTAGCAGTTGTCCGGCGAAAACTCGGATGCGAGTGCAAAGCTTGCTTAGGGAGCACGTGACGTTGTCAAAGACCCATGCCTGGCAAGGAGAACCCAGATTTGCTGGAGATCGGTGATGGCATGATAGAAGAGTGGCCATGCTGGCTGCAGTTTGAAGACTTTAGCCGCCAGCCTGCCAGGAAGCGTTTGTTGGTAGTTCCAAATTGCGGCAACTCGTGGCAGGTGCTTGTCCAGCGGGCTTCAGCGGAGTAGGCCAAGCAAGGGCCAGACTTGCTTTCGTTCGCGGCGGAGCCGGGACTTCCGTGACACTCCGCGAATCCTTGTGGCTCTCTGCCTCGTGCGGCAGGGCACCTGGCCCTGAGCACTCCAGCGATGAGCCGGATCTGGAGGCCTTCGGAGAGTTCGACCCTGAGGCCCACTCCAGCTCTTTCTTCCGTTCCCTTTTTCGTGATCGCTAGCCGCTAGCCCCGGTCTGTGCTGCACCTTTGCGCATGCCACTTCTAGATGCCTGCGTGCCTCGTGCGTCCACATCATCCGAATAAGTCCTGAAGTTTGGCTGATTCAGGCACGGCGAACACTTGGAACCCTGGCTCGGTTAAGCGGCCGCAGCCGGGAGCCCCAGTCACAAAATATATGAGATGGGGTCAAAATTATCGTTAATGTAGTTTAGTGTAGAGGGTAGTTGTGGAGCCAGAACCCCCAACATCGGTAGGGGATGCGCTAAAACGATAGGGTTACTTATACTTTGGTCCCTGCAAGTGACTTAGGGGAATTCCTCGGAAAACGATAGGGGACGCGCAAGTTCAAAAACATAAGCAGCATGAACAAGTAATTTTGACGCCGACTCATATACATGTTTCATCGAATCAAATCATCAGCTGCTCCAGTGTTGAGACTCGAGTTCGAGCGTCTTCGGCAACATCCTGAAGCGTGTTTGGTACAACAACGCCAAGCTCGGTTTCATCTAGTCTCACCTGTCCTGGTGGCACAAACCGGTCGAACTACAAGGGCGGGGCTCACGTGATCAGGGTGTAGGATTGCTTTGAAGAGCACATACTTAAATTACAAATAGCAAGTTCTTGATGGCCTAGTGCGCCTATTCCCATTGCCCTGCCCTGGCAAGATCTTTCTCCCGGATGCGGCACGTCACGAGGCCTTGTCCGAAGCAGCGTCGCTCTCGGTTTGTTGGAGGCGCACAGAGGGTAGCGGGTGACCCATTTCTTACATGTTGTGGAGATCTGCTGAGCGATGCACGAGATGCAACTTGTCGCGTGCCGTTATATAGCTGGTTCACACCATACGCAGAGCAACTACACAACACAGACTCACAGACCTACCCACCTCGCGTCACCTTACCTACCCACATCCCTACCTGCCTACCGACCACTCGTACCTACCGACCTGCATACATACGAACATGCACCCGTACACATAGGAAGGCTATGTGTTTAGGCAGTTGTTAAGCTGTCTAGGTGCATGCATCTACATATCCCTCAATGCGCGCGTTGTCTTGGTAGTGCGTGGCCCATCAGCCAAAGAGCTGACAGCCATGAACTTCGACCGGATGCTGATGGCCTCCTTCGTTCCTTCGAGGCCCCGACAGCGGAAAGCTGCGGTGCCCAAACCGGAGCCAAGGCGGGTCCATACTGCTTGCGATGTTCTACCACACCAGAGAGAGGGAGGCAGGTGCCGGGAAGACGCCTAAGGCCAGTACATACATTCACGTACGTACATACATACACACATATATACATATATATATATTATATACATATATATAGTATACATACATATACATATATATATATACATACATATGTATATATATATATACATATGTATATATATATATATACATATGTGTGTGTTGTACGTGAACACAGTTGAAGGCGGTGCTACAACAGAAGGCAGCTTACAACACAATAGGAGAATCGAGCCCTACAGCGCTGTTTCGGATTACGAACTGTTCATTCTTAAATCCTGATCGTTTCTTGTAACAGTATCGACATCCATCCCCAGGGCTTTTTGCCAATGTCGACATCAGCAAAAATGTCGAGTGGCCAGGACGAAAGACCTCCTGCATGAGGCATCAACGACACAGCGGCCAGCGAAATCCACCGCCACACCCTTTGACCTTTGCTCTCTCCTACTCTGTCTCTCTCTCTCTCTCCTACTCTGTCTCTCTCTCTCTCTCTCTCTCTCTCTCTCTCGCTCTTTCTTTCTTTGTGTCTCGCTGTACCATATCTACAAAACAGGCTTCGGCTATTGGTCACCCAGGTGGATCCTCATCGCATGCAGGAGATGGAGGAAGTCTGGTGCCGCTCTCGGATAAGCCGACACGAAAGCTTGAGTTTCTCTCCTGCCGACCTCCAGCTTCTGATGGGGCATTCCGACACTTCCAGCATCGCCACCAGTAGCGTATCAACCGAGTAGGACCAGAACTTGGATGCAACCGCAACCCTCAGCCTGAAATACCTCTGGGACGTCTCTCGACAAAGGCCAAAGGCTGCACCGCGGATGTGCACTGGCCGCGCGGAATGGAGACGAAGTCGCAGCTTGGTCGCGGCAGCTATACCTTTTCTCGCGGGGAATTCTACAGAAGTTTTTTTTGTTTGTCAGAGTTAAACGTTTTACCAAGCGCCACGGGCAGCCGAGGCATGGGCCAGGCGGGGGCCAGCGCTGCATCCGAAGGACCAGGACTGGGACCGGCAGGCAGAGATCTCAGAGGCTCCCGGCCGGGAGCCCTCGCGAGATTCCGCTATTTTGAATCCTGGGGGCATTTTAGCAAAGCCAGGCCCGGAGAGCTTTGCAGGGATCGAGTCGGTGCCGGGCCTGCGTGCCATGGGCCTGGACGCAGCTGAGGCTCTCGGACTCTCGGGTGTCTTGCTTTGGGATGAGGGTGTTCACGGATTCGCGCAGGGTTTCAGAGGTAAGGTTGAGATGGTATCGATTGCTTACGGTTCATGCACCGTGCAGACAAAGTACTTTGACTGCCAGTTGGGTGACAGAGGGTTCTTAGACCTCGACATACCTCCCTGCAGTAGAGCTCAGTCAAAGTGGGAGCTGGGCAGCGCCTGGTTCAAAGCCCACAGGTCGACGATGCCAAGGAGCCCAAGAAGGAGGATGACATGCTAAAGACCCTCTTTGCCGGGGTGGGTGCCGTGGTCGCACTGGCACCTGCAGTGCTCGTTGCCCGGGCGAAAACTGTCAGTGTCACTGCCCCCGCTTTGCTTGTTGGATGACCCTTCCCGTTCTGAGTATTGAGTTTGAGACTTCAGCAACTGAGGCAGCCCGGTGTCCCATCTGAGCGTTGCAGCTGAGACTGGACGTGACGAAATGGCTGAAACTGCCGGGCAACTGCCAGGACTGAGACTAAGTTTGAATGCAGCCGGCATTTAGCTGTCTCGTTGAGGACAAGTTGATGATGGTCTGCTTCATATCAACAACAAGACCACCTTCCACGAAGCAGAGTCGGGCAGCACCTCGTCAGAAATACGGTCCCCAGCTTTTGCTTTCGTCAACAGTGTTTGCCGCATGTCGACCGTGTCAAAACCCTTCTTCGCTTGAGGTGCCAGGTTGAACTTGAGGCGCCCCTCCGGCGATTACCAGTCCCTTGCCGGCAGAGGGCGGATGCTTTCAAGATCGTCATAGACTGTGTCGTGCCACTGCGAACGTAACGCAATGAAGGTGCCCGCCGGCCTCGTCCTTGACCGGCAGCTCGCTGCATCATCAGCCGACCGAATTCAACCGGGTTTGCGCTTAGGTTCTGGATCCAAAAATGCAAACAGAGCGAACCAGACGATCCTGGAAGGATCGAGAGTGCACCGCTTCACCGGCCATTCAATCGACTATGATATGATTGCCAAAGTCGCTAACTTGAGCTTTCTCCTTCCGTGGACTTCCGGCATGACGTTCTTACAGGCACGTGCCGTGCCGATTATGCCGCTGAGGCCTTCGACAGTTGCAAAGTCTTGTGTGCATGTTTGGCTTTCGATCATCGCGCTGCGGCGGTTAGACAAAATCGCTAGCTCCCAAGCGATGCTAGAGAAAGCAAATCTAAGTCAGGACAGAGACCCGTGGCTCGGGCCCCGAGCTGAAATCTAGGTTCGATGCTTGAATCAGGGCTTTCTGCTGCAAAGTTGAAGGCCCCCCAGCGAGACACAACCTTCAACGCTTTGCAGATCGCAGCGGCCACCGCTACAGCCGCAGCGCATCGGCGTGCCGACGCAGAGCTGGTTCCGGCCTGGGGCCTGGAGAACAGGATCTAATCGGGCTCCCTACTTGTTGTCTGAAGCACAGGAGCAGACTGCAAGAGGCCGATTGCAGTGACTTGCCATCATGCCGGGATTTTCATGGCATGTTGGTCCCAGTGCTAAGGCACAGCTCGCCCTGAAGAGTTCCGAAGCTGCAAGGACTTGCAAAGGGGGCGCTGTAAGGCAGTCTGCTGGGCTCACGGGAGACGGGCCGGTCTGCCTTCGTCCTCATCCTTTTCCAAAGCCGCCCTATCTCCATTTCCCTGGACCCTCGAACATGAAGCACTGATAATTGGCGTACATTTGATGCACAAAAAAATCACAATACATCATTGTGCAGTGACCATCAAATTTGCATTACACCATGATTTTGTCCCGTGCCTCCGTGTCTCGGCTCAGGTGGTGCGAACGAAAGGATCAGCTCCTTGAGGAGGACGGTCGTCGCCGTGTTTTCCGAAGGAAATTTACAAAGGCAAGAAATGCACAAAACCATCCCAGTAGTAGTAAGACTATTCAACAGAATCTCGTAGCACGATAAAATTAAAAAAGACAAGGGGATGCGCACCTCGGTTCGTTTCGAACTTCGCCATTCGCCTCTCATCTCAGCAGTGTCGCTTCCTGGCAGGACCGCGCATCATACAGAGGCCGACCTGGCATCAAGGGATCCTCAATTGCTTAAGCCAGGCCTCCTTTTCAAGATATTGCGCCCCCCCCGACTCGAAGGCTCCTTGACCCCTCAGTTCATCTACCAGTTTCTAATCCTGCTGACATCTGCCGACCTACTGTTTCTTAAAGAAACATCCGTGGCACGAAGATCTGATATTCGGGAAGGCCGAGCACCTTGGGTTTTTGAATTCAGGGGGCTCCTTTGTTGTAGCTTTCGAAACCTGTAGCCTGAAGCGCCTGCTGTGTGGGGTTCTGAAGCGCTTGAAATCAATTGAAATCGAAACATGGAGGTTGACTTACTGTAGCCTCTTCGTGTTCTCTGGCGAGAGGTCGAAGAGATTCGGCGCGGAAAGGCCCTGGCTGTCATGCGCAACTGGGCAGCGATGCACGGCCGGCTGAAGTCTGAGCCGATCCGCTGAGCTCGCGTGCTCTACAGCTGTCGCTGCGACACCTTCATCCGGGGGACGTCCCGGACCCGGAGGAGAATCTTGAGGCTTCGGCAGCCTCGCGAGACATGACGTCTCCGACCTGGCCTTCATTGGGGAAAATCCCCGAGTCTGTGCGACCATCGCGGAGCTTCGCTGCGACACGTCGTATGTCCAAGCTTGAGCCTGGATTCCTAGATGAGGCCAGCAATGCGCGAAGCGTCTGAGTCCTCTCTTGCATGTGCACGAGTTTTCCAATCATTCTCACTCCACTCCTATGCGTGGTCCCTCGCAGCATCTTGAAGCTTGGCTACCAGGGCAAGATGGCCTCAAGTCTTTCGTGGCGAGGCGTCGAAGTGGAGACGGCAAAAGTGTGCTGTTAAAGCGAGGAGCTGCTCATGTTATCTGGATGCCTGAGGCGAGGACCCGCACGCCACATAAACGCATGCTCACAGGCCGAACGACGAGCGCTTTTGCAGCAGCATCCAGATGCTCGAAAGGTGCGACTTTGGATTTTAGCTGCTTAGGCTGTACTTCGGGGTTTAAGCCACCCGTTTCGTCATCCAACAGGTTGCCGCTGTGCTCCTCGGCAGCCCTCCGGCAGACTTTCGAGAGTGGGTGAAGATGCGGCAAAGGCGAGGTGTTCAGCCGGCGTCAAAAACGGGTAGCTGCGAACTGCTCCTATAGTTCGTTGCATTCATTATCATTCCACGAGCCAGAAAGCTCACCCAACCATAAGCATTGAGATCAGGGTTTCTTGGCTTATTTTGAGATTTTGGCATACCAGTGCAGATCCCAAACCTTGATTGCGATTTTGCTTCTCTGCTTACTGGCTCATGCTCATCTGTTGTCGTTACGCCTTGTTCATTCGGTTGCGTGTATTTCGAGCTTGCTTAGATTGCTTGGAGTTGGTCAGGGCCGACATTGAAGCCAAGAAGGCGGGGACTCGCAGCCGTATGGTAGAACTGTCAGGCGAAGGGAGCATGGCCTTCTGAGCCGACTGGGTGCGTTGAACGGCGGAAACCATTGCACAGGCTCCCCCTGTCTCTGTTTGTAGGCGCTTGGCGAAGAGCTGCCGGACGAGGTGGGATTCACTGGTCACGGAGGGTGTTACCCCGGTGCTGTTCTGGTACTCTCGTTTCATTTTCAGCGAGCTTCTGGCTGTTGATGATCCTCCTACCGTAGATGCAGTCCCTGCGTATCCCTGCGTACTGTGCAACTGTGCCGTCGAATTGTTGGACACGAGCAGGTGATGCACGTTTTATTGGCGCGCATGAGCTCCCCTGCGGATTCACTCTTAGATGAATAGATCCAGAGGATACAGCAACTCCCCACTGAACCCCATCACGCAAAGTCAGAAGCTTCCGCGCCGGACAAGGCTTCGGAGACCCTCTGCTCTGGTGTGCCTGATGCTGTGGACAAGCCATGGCCCGAGGGGTTTTCGCAGTTTCTTGTAGGGTGGCCACGGTTCGGTTCCGCACAACTCAGTTCGCGCGCTGCTTCCTCCTATCTTTGGTGATGAATGCCAGACTTAAACCCTAAGCTTAAACTCTCGCTCCCAACTCCTGCCTGGCCCCCTCCTTGTCTAGCTTTCTCGCAAAATTTAGGCCGAAGCAAATGTTGTGGAACTTTTCAAGCGATTTAGCGTGCACGGCCACAGGTTCCGGTGTTGCAAGCAGCAGTTCTGGAATAACTTCGGAACTGTGCAGCAAAGTATGTGTTCTTCACGCCCCTTAACCCCAGCACCTCTACCTCAATGCTTCTGCCGAAAAGACCTCTAAACCCAAAGCCGAAATCATCCTTCTACCCTCGCCCAAGAAAAACAGGGCGCTGGGTGAATTCGCTCGCTTCACCTTGCCGAGCAGAGCTGAAGGCTGGGTAAAGCAGTTCTGTATCGAATCTTCCCGTAGGCTGCAAGGGCTTGTCGGATCGATTTCCTGCAAGGGCCGCAACGGTTTACCAGGTTTGCTGGAGTGTACAACGGTTTTGCACGATTGTCTGTGGGCTTAGAAGTTTTTTTTGGAGTTTGGTATGAGGTTTTGCGATAGTTTAAACGGGTATTCTGCAGGGCCTTAGAAGGTGGAAAAGATTCTACGGTTCGGCGGTTTTCACCTTGCCATCATGTGCATTGCTGGCACCAATGACCAGGCATTGTGAACGTGTGTGCTGGCATGAAGAACTGCATTCCTAGAGTGAAGTGCCCCTGCAGAACTGAGGTTTCGACGAGGTCCGATATGAATGGGCCGGCGAGGCCCCAATGCGAGGGCTTCTTGCTTTGGCTTTCGCTGCGCCGAAGTAAGTCCTTTGAGCACTCTCGTGAAATCAGCGTCCCGTCAGCTCGGAAAGCTTGAATGTGACGCGCATGCCAGGGGACTCCCTCCAGCAAGGGGCTTCGACAAAACTAGACGTCCAGTGCCTGCCAGTGATTTCCGATGCTGGGCCCGATGCTGCCTATCATGGAGCCAGCAAAAACCAAGCGGAGAGCCAGGTGCCCCTGCCCTCCCCTACCAAGCCTTGCCTCAACATGCCCCAGCACGAGGGGTGCGGCAGTCGGCCGTCAAGCCCTCGGGCCTCCCAACCAAGTAGCACTCCGTAAGTCAGACACCATCAGGCGAACCTTGAGCTGAACAAGCCTACCGGATTGCTACGCTGCACCCGGAGAGCTTCAAAAGCATGTTTTCCGTGTGCTGCTATGTGGACCGGCCCTTTGCAAAGACTCACGAGCAGCCTGTGCAGAGAGAGGCCAGATGTTTGCAAGTGGTGGGGCTGTGATGGGCTGTGAATAGGAGCGTAGTCTTTGAATCTTCCACTATTCGGGCAGAGACCATTGTTGCTTGACTTGTGCCACGTTTAGGATCTGGTGTTGTCACCAGCCCCAGCCGCTCACAAACCGAAATCCCGTCCCGTTGACAGCAGCCGAAATCCTGTCGCGAACACGTCATGTGGCCAAGCATGCTGTGTGCAGAACACGTCCGAACCTGAATTCCAATGCACAAGCTTCCATAACTCGGGACAGGCACTTAAGTATCCTGCCCAACGAAGATCGGTCCTGAGTGCGCCAACAGACGTACCGAGATGAGAAGCACACTGAAGACCATGACTGCAGTTATTCGGAGCAAACGGGTAAAGGTGTTTGCTTGGTGCGACTTCTTGTTTCGTGTGCTACTTGCGCTATGATGCTTGTCTTGCTTCTTGTAATCGTGACTTTGCCTTCCTCGTCTCGAGTTTGCTTTGTGTTTCGGAGGATCTGCAAATTCGACCTGTGAGCTGGCAGACTGCGGAACGCACGAGCTTTGCCACAGGTGCTTACAGCCGGCGACTCACCCATCTGCCAGGCAGCTTAGAGGGTGCTGCGTCCTCCGCTTGCTAAGCTGAACCCGGCCCCTGAACTGAACTCCGAAAATCTGGAGAACAACTGAGAGGGCTCACAGCGGAGAAGCTCAAGAAGTGCTTTGTTCAGCCGTTCCATGCCAACATGCTACGAGACAGCAGGAGTGCTTGCTAGTTGCTCTTGATCGTGCCGCAGTCGAAGGTTTTTAAAGACTTAAAAGAAGACATTCTCGCAACAGTCGTAATGCAGCCGTCCTCGTGGACGGGGCGAGTATGAGACTCCCCCAAAAGCCCCAGGTGGTTGCCAGGGCGGCGGAGAACCTGGCAGGGGGCGAATTAAGCGACTGGCAGCGTCGTTGGTGCACCGAGGAGGCCCGGTAGCTGTGGGAGTTATGGGGTTCCTTCCGGCTCATTCCGGCCTTTTCAGTCTCACGTGGTGACTGTGCAGTCCTTTGCAGAGAATGAGAGCTTGAATGGGCAAGAGAGCTCACTACAGTTCAAGGGGATCAGGGTTTGGCTGCGTGCAACCTTGAGTCTCGAGCCAGGCTCACCGTGCTAGAGCATACTCAGCATAGTGTGCCCGAATCAAGGCTGCCACTGCTAACTACGGCAGGAGCTAAATGCAGTGCATGCTGCCGCGGGAAACTTTGGCTAGACAGTTTGTGCTTGCACCCATTGCTGTCTTGCGGTCGCGCTGCATTGGCAGCATAGTATGTATGCATACACACCATATTCGCACCTCCATACAAACTGTGTTGGCTGCACATGTCTTGAGGGCATTGCGCCATTGCTAACTACGGCAGGAGCTAAAGGCAGTGCACGCTGCCGCGGGAAACTTTGGCTAGATAGTTTGTGCGTGCACCCATTGCTGTCTTGCGGTCGTGCTGCATTGGCAGCATAGTATGTATGCATACAGACCATATCGCACCTCCGTACGAACTGTGTTGGCTGCACATGTCTTGAGGGCATTGCGCCATTGCTAACTACGGCAGCAGCTAATTACAGTGCACGCTGCCGCGGGAAACTTT